GAGGGTTGAGGAGGTATTTCAACATGCTGTTTTCTTTCACTACAGATACTATTGATAGAAAAACATGTTATTACTACATCAATTTTCCTTTTTTAAATACGTGATTTTTAAAACTAAAAAAAAAAGATTAATAATTTAAAATGGCTGTTAATCATTTTGATAGTGCACACAGGCTGTAGCCAGGGAATCTTTAGAGAAAAAAACATTCAAAGTAGTTGATTCCTCATAGTTGACAAAAAGTTATGTAACATTGGCCTGTTTTGATAAGTAAATGTCTTAATGACTACTTGTACTCAAAAACATGCAAGTAAAAAAAACTTGAGCTCAAGATTATATATAGCATTATAGATAGATTTGTTTTTATGGAATCATTGGAGCAACATTAATTTAAAGCAATGAAGTCCAAAACTTGAATGAACTGGATATTACTTACAAGTATTAGATGGGTAGATATTAACCACAAATCTATTCTTGACTATCTTATTAGTGAAAATAAAATTTGAATATATGATTGTACTTAATTTTTTTCAATTTTTAATTGTGTCACAAGATGATGTGCTTCAGTAAAAATAAACCTGCCATTTAATGTGTCAAAGTAATCCTGACTTTTATTCTGGCTTTTGCTAATACTAAGCTAGCACTTATACTTTGTAAATATTCAGTTGTAAAATATACTTATAAAATAACTGTTCCAAATCTTGCGTTCTTATTGCTTGGAAGCAAGTGCTTTATGAGAGCACACAGCATGGGCGCACACCTTCAGTTTTATCATTCCTCTAATTTGTATTTTATATAAAAAAAACTTGCTTGATGTGCTGTTTGGAGTTATAAAGCAGTTGGGGTTTGGCAGAACACTTGAGAAGTGTTGAGAAGCACTCCACCACGCGTTGTGCTTCTCCTAACACTTCTCTCATCTTCTGCCAACCCGTGGGTGCTTTATAACTGCCATATATAATTTTTGGGGGTGAATTGTGAATGGGGACTTCTATGGGTGCAAGATTCATATAGCCACATCCAGGAATCAAGGTGCCTATATTATGAAACTACAGAATGAAACCATCCTTTTCCTCAATTTTCTCGGCTATTGCAAACCGTACAGTTGACTGCAACAATTAAGGTAACAATAAAGAGGTTATAAAGAATTGGCGTTTTGAGGATATTTGTATACTTTACAAGGTTACAAGGTTTTTTATTTCCACTTACAACAATAAACCATAATCCAATTTTACATGGGGCAAAGAAAGATGTCTATTTGATTCAGAGCAAGTATTGTAGCTGTGAGAAAACTGGAGTTTTTTAAAGTAGTATTTGAAAATGTCGGGCAATTGTTGATTTACATGCCTATATGCAATTTCACAGAGCTGAAACTTAACTATATCTCAAAGATGTTTAAAATTCCCAGTTTTGTAAAAAGGTGCCTACTGGAAGTTCTTGGGCTTGAGAAAGTAATTATAGGAAGGACTTGTTTTGGTAAAATATGAATAGGCAGTACTTTTGTTTTATAATTACTTCCCCATATTAATGCGCCATATTATAAATACAAATAAATAAAACTATAGTACAAACTTTTCAAGATATCAAGATTGATATGGTGTCTGCATTTATACAAGATTCCAATTGATTTAGCAATTTTCCTTGAGATATACTTAATGTGTGAATCCCACGACAAGTGTTTGTCTAACAACAGCCCTAAAAAACTTTGTGCTACTGGTTCTACCAATAGATTGCATATTTTTGAAATGCAATAAGTCTTAGACATTGCAAGTCATAATACTCTTAAATTTTTGGCGAGAACCAAATATGAGATATTTTGTTTTTGTTTTGTTGACCGTTAGTTTATTATAAGCCTGAAACCAATCAAAAAGGAGAAAGAGAATTTTGAAAATGCTATCAGTTTGGACAAAAACAGCCAGAGGTTTCATGGTTTGAAGGTGCCTATATTATGAAACTACAGAATGAAACCATCCTTTTCCTCAATTACTCAGCTATTGCAAACTCTGCATGCAGTTGACTGCAACAAGGTAACAATAAATGTAAGAGGTTATAAAGAATTAGCGTTTTGGGGATATTGTTATACTTTGTGAAAAAGAGTTTTGAAAATGCTATCAGTTTGGACAAAAACAGCCAGAGGTTACATGGTATATTTTAAGAAAATGGAGGAGGGG